ATTTATTTATTTATTTATTTACTTACATTTCTCAATTAAATTAGACATGAATAATCCGAGCGGATCGTTGCGAGAACATCATTTCTTATTGCATCGTATCTTGCTGGGAAGTCGATCCTATTTCTAGTCTTCCTATTCTAAAATGTAACTTAATGTAAATTGATGAAGCGGCTATCTTGAAACCGCTATAACCAACAATGGTTGTGGCTAGGATTATAAGTGGTCTTAAAGCTTACAAGAACTTCATAGAAAGCTATTGATCTGCGGCAGCAGGTGTATCTTAGCCGTTGACATGATAACTAGTCAACCTTACTGAATACAGCATTGTTTACATTGTTAGGCATCAAGCCGTCCAGCAAGGAGTGGTAAACGTATCCGGTTTGTACCTTTGCCCTGTACCTCTAGTGCACTTCAAAACGTAGCGGGTTGTAGACTCAATTCAGTTTTTTCCAATTGGAAAAATCATTTATTTTGCAAATATTTGTTAAAGAAATTAATTTTGAGAACGACACTTAACTGTAGCTGAAAAACGGTTGTTTACAAAGCTGAAGAGTTAGAAAATCATCAGTAAAGTTGTTTTGTTAACTGCTAAAACAGCCATGACGGGAAAAATTAGATTCGCAACTATTTACTTTCTAGATTTTGAATAAATTTCAAACCCCTTTTTTTCCCGCTGGCAAGCTGAAATATGGGATAACCGATTCCTGTATGAAAACTGTTCTCCCATACAATTGCGATAGCGGAATGCATTCCTATGACCAAATTACAAATTCTCCTTTTTCTAGTTTAAGAACCTTCCCAGGCCATACAGTACCTGAAATTACTAACGACTTGAGGATAAGGTAACCATGGGTTACTGATACCTTAAATAATACTGCCCTACGGTTAGGGCTATAGACAGCCTCGATTGTCCCACTCGCATATGGCAAGAAAAATGGTAATGCATATGGGACTTTGACTCTAGGATTAAAAACAAGACTCCTCTCAATAATTGAATACTGCTGTCCTGAAAGAGCAAAAGGGATGTGCCAGAGTACCATATGAAATGTATAGTGCGATGTACACCATGGCTGGCCGTCCAAACCATACCCTGAGCCCGCAGTCAGCCCATGGATATTCCATAGGTCGTTAAGATGATCACGGTAGTGTAATAAGGATTTTTTAGTTTGTTCTAAAGCTTTATATGGGTCTATTCCTAAATGAATTTGCATAGATGTCCAATCTGGACTGGCTCCCATCCATATGGATTTATAGATTGAATGTTTTCTTAGCAACGAACAGTTGCTTGAATTGTTAGGTTTTTGAAACGGTTTTCCCTCCGCGTGCTTTTGTGTTGCTGCAGTTTTGATGATATTTCTGGGTGAAGAGCTATCGTACTCTTCGTCCTCTTTCACCTTCACCTTTCTCGAAGGTAGCTCCTTGTTACTATCTTTAGCGTCGTTACTGAAGACATACGAAGCATACAAATTCCTTTCCAAGTTCGTTGAGGATACAGATTCCAAGTTCTCGTACTGAAGCGCAACAGATTCTTTTTCTCCTCTAACTGGACTACCACTAGTACTCAAATATTCATTCATGCTCGGCCTATTTTCTTCTTCCATATAATGATAATACTTGTCCCAGTCGGTCATTGCACGAAAGCCCCGTCTTTGATCAACTGCATACCCATCTTGATATTGGTAAACTGGATACACATTTGGTGACTGCGAGTTTTGATAAATATGCATCGTCCTTCCATACCCATTGTTAATAGAATTTAACGTTCTTTGATAGTCTTCAGTTCCATAACTTAAGTCTTCGCTAGTTGGCCTATAGCTATTTTGGTTTAGATTCTCATAGTACTGGTTGAATTCTAAGATTCGTTTTTGTTCCTCAGTGACATCCCTTTTGCGCCGTGTTTTGTTTGTGTCATCTTCTTTGTTCGCTCTGTTATTTGTCATTACACGTAGTCCATATGGGGTGTCGTTTAGCAGATTTTCTTTGTTCATATGAGACTTCATCTTTTCAGGATCGAGAAGATTACCCAGACCTAAGGTATACGCCCACACCTAGAGGTAAAAGAACACAGATAAATTTTGTTTATTATAAAATAATATTCATTCCGATCCAAAATAACGGTACGCGTCGTGCTTCTTTTAATTAACACTTCTCTCGTGTTCTGAAAATTCGAATAACTCGGGTTAAATTTCGAATAATCATGAAAATTCGAATAACTCATGTTCAATTTCGAATAATCGGGCAATTCGAATAACTCGGGTTAATTTTCGAACAATCATGTAATTTCAAATAACTCGGGTTAATTTTTGAATAACCTTAAATCCGAGGCAAGCATAACGTTGGAAATCAAGGGTGTCGTCCACAGTTGCGCGTGTACTCGCCTCTCACTTCTGTGGCCTCAGATTCGATTCCAGTACTTCGTATCTCATGGGAGTGGAGTTTGTTAGTTATCTACCTTGATTCAAGGATTTTCTTCGAATTCTCCGGTTTTCTTCGTCTATCCCAACGCGCTAGAAAGCCAATCCGATCTGTGTATCAGGCGTGCCTCGACTTTGATTAGCGATTTGACAATCATTTACTTATTTGACTTACTTGTCCATATAAGGAATCTGCCATCATCCATGGTGGTGAGCCTTTCTTGCTGTCCCACCAAGCATGATAATATCCTCGCTCATCATCCCAAAACAACTGATCAACTTTCTTCAAGGCTTTAGCAATAGCTTCCCTGATAAGAAAGTACATGTCGACATCTTTTTGTACCTCAGCAATCTCTTCTGCTGCTCTCAGCCCGAGCAAGAACATAACGCTGTTGTAGAAGGAATGATCGTATTGTTGTAGCTGTAAGATATCATAGGTGTTGGTCATGCGCAATGGCAGCCCTGTTCCATCCGTTCCTTCGTCTATCATCCATTGGGTTGCCTTGCGTACTGTTGGCCATAGATCCCGAAGGAGTTGTTCTTTACCAGCCCAGATATAGAGGTGATATACCTAACATGTACACCATGATAAGATTGACATAACAATTCTATATGAAATTTTCTAGCTCGAAGGCAGCAGAGGAGAGGTCGGTCCCCAGACCGTACCTGCAATTACTCCCTTGTACCACCTGTCACTCACTCTCATTGGGAATAGAAAAAACCTAGTGCTTTATCTGTTCCTTTGTTTTCATGGCTATTGATGTGCTAATTTCGAAGAGCCTCTTAGATACTGAGTCAAGCCCGCGGGTTAAACGAGGAACTATTACAGCAGGGTAATTTAGACAACAGACCAACCTGTGCAATAAATGCAGGGTGTACATCAGCCATGTTCAATCTACCACCCACGGCGTCCAGCTTATTCGTTTTAGCCCAGCAACCGAACTGTCCTTGAAGAGCTTCAGGGATGATTCCATTTGGTAGCTGAGACTTTGCCCAGGCGCGAACCACATTTTCTAACAGACCTTTATATGACATGAATGTGAATGCATCAAAGCAGTGATACAATCATAGGCTTATGGGCTCATAAAATGGTCCCTCTTCAGGTAAAATGTACAAAAATTATTATACGTAATTTACGGCTCATTTACTCAGGGTTGACCTTCTTTCAGTGTCAATATATTGACAAATACCAACAGTAAATTAAAGAAGACACAACTTCAAAAATACAAGCACTCTGAAACTTAACAGACCTTCATTGGAACACAAGAATATTCTACACAAAATCGAGGTTCTTCCTAGTCAACATAGAACTTGAAAACTACATTATCAGAACATGCAGTTGTGTCAATATGGTGTTTAGCTCGGCATTACTTACCCGGAAAGAAAAGAACATAAGGCAGTTCTCTCTGAAAATCATTGTGAACAGAATCAACGTCATTACAATCAAATGTCTCCCACTGGCGCCATCTTCCATCAGCTACCCAGAATCCTGTTCGCCAGTAACTAAGACTATTGACAAGCATGTCTTGCAGCCAATCAGGAAGCGAGGAATCTATGTGAAATATTTCTTGTGGATCCCAGTTTGGTGCTCTTGGAGGCATCATGTTTTCACGATAACTAATCAGCTCGCTTAGAACATTTTTTATATTCTGTCTTGCATGTGAGGCAACCTCTTCACTGGACTTGAAAATATTCCTTTTAAGATCCATGACGGAAAAAAAAAAGGGGGAAAAGGAAAATTAAATGAAAATTAAATTAAATTAGTAAAGAAGCTAGAAGAGGATACAGTTAAGAGACTTGTATCAGCTGATTGAACCCTCCAACATGGCCGCCATGGCTTTTTTATTTGACTCTCTTTTTTATGCTTGCAAATGATCAAACTTTCAAAGATAGAAGTAAGTAAGATGCAACACTTATAGGCGTTAATATTCACGTTAGTTTAAACAGAAGATGACGAGGTGGCCGAGTGGTTAAGGCGTTGGACTGCTAATCCAATGGGGTTTTCCCGCGTGGGTTCGAATCCCATCCTCGTCGCGTTGTTTCATTTTTTCTTCTTGTTTTGGAAAAAAGTATTAGTGTAATCAATGTTAGGGTTATCTTTTTTTCCTTTCTTTGAATTGTGAACTATAAATCAAAAAGAATCTGACTTAAGAAAAAATATTCGCATACATACGTACCCGTAATACTGACCAACAATCTCCCCCGCATGGTCCCTAAACGGGTAGTACCATGCCATCACTAGTGTTATGGTAGCTTCTTCACCAGGCCTCAAAATCATTCTACCTACTCCGCTACCATGGAAACCTGTATCCTTGACAACCATGTTGTGTAAATGACCATATTTTTCAAAATGTTTCCATATGTCGTTTATATCATTAGAAACGGCGGACGAAAATGTTATATCTTCGATGTTAGTCTTTCCTTTCTTACTCTTCTTAGTATTTAGTTTTTTCTTTTGTATATTTTCTGACTCGTATTCATCTTTGTTATTAGTTTCTTTATGTGCTCCGTGTGTGTTTTCCCGTTCAACGTTGTTGTTAGTGTTGCCGCTGTTGTTTTTGCCATTTTTGTTATTGTTGTTGCTGCTGTCTTTGTCCTTGTCATTTTTGTTGTTGTTGCTGCTGTCTTTGTCCTTGTCATTTTTGCTGTTGTTTTTCTTTCTTCTTTTGTCGCTTTTGTAGTATTTTCTCTGGGTATTGACCATGTTATCACCGTCATGTCGTTTTTTGTTGCTACTGTTGTGTTGAGTTACCTCGTTCCCTGTGTTGCCATATCGACCTTCTTTGCTGTTATTGCTGTTGTTACTGTCCTCATGGTTTTCGTATACACTGTCTCGTCGGTATTTGTTGTCGTTTTTGTCTTTTTTAACCAACATAATTGTCGTGCTACCACTGTTAGGGTATCGTCCAGGTCTCCCACACGTTAATCTGTCATGACTAGATCCCCAAAAACCTTTGACCCCTTATATCAAAGAAACAAACAATCCGTATTTATAGGGTGTAAAATCGTACACCCGACACCCCATTTGCCWAATGGTTTTTGTATCAACCATAGTATAGACGTCTTGCAATACATTTAGACGCAGTTCAATTTGGAGGACATAAAAAAATGTTTTTTGCATTTCTCCAGAGATTAAAATTCTTTTTCTTTTTCTTTTTCTTTTTTGTCCCCCAAATGTTGGGCTGTTTTGAAGTCACATGCAAGGAGTCTATAGTCCTCTTCAGCTTGGGCGTAGTGTTTTCCTGTGTCATTTCCTAGAGTAAATTTTCTGTTTGACAGGTGCACGCCAGAAGACAGAAATGTATATGAATATGGATACAACTCAAACAAAGATTCTTATTCTCAAGAGAATGACACGTGGTCCTCAAAGGAAAAGAACATTACGTCCAAGGTAGATAACTCTATTAAACATTGTTTAACTGTTAAATCATTTACTCTAGCTATATCATATTATTTTCAATTTAGTGCATTACTGTTTAGATAATGATAAAGATTACCTGATGTTGTCGCCCTCTTATATGCGTGAAGCGGCATAATATCCTTGAGTTCACAAGATCCATTTTCTAGTGACCATGCTTTACAGCGTAAGTGTTCTTGGCACAGCTCTGCACAGATTGAAGATGTGCTGACGTCTTTCACTACCTTGAAAGCATGTCCTTCTCTTGACGTGTCTGAGACCACGAAACAAAACGTTAACAAAATTTTTAAAATTTTCACTATTTCATACCACGTGTCATTTTCTTGAGAATAAGATTCTTTGCTTGAGTTGTATCTACATGTGTCTTCACATGCGCAACTGTTAAACAAAGGAAGGATACTCTAGAGGATGACACGTGACTGATAACTCATTGCATGGGACTGACTTGCCTGGTTGCTCGCCTAAAGGAAGATTAAGAAGCAAAGAAACATTTGCTGAGTTTGTGGTTGGGTTTCGAACTCGCAACGTGAAGAAGACTGCAGGAAGTGCTGACGCTGTTGCATTTCTCGCACGAAGGCTTCCATACGCGTACAGATCCATTTGTACTCCAAAAAACCCCTTATCCTCAACAACGAGCTTAGACACTGGGAATGCCCCAGAGTAAGAAAGTCCATCCACACTAGGAAGACCATGAGCTGGATGCGTCCGCAGTAGAGACGCTTTCACGCCTTTAGCAGTTTGTACTCGAACTCCTATGAATGCTAGATCCAGTGCTCCTTGACTTAATTTGGCCGAACCACCAGGGGACTGGTTCTCTAAGGTCCACTCTGTGAAGGATCCATCTGCCCGAAGCTCAAAAGAACCTGTTGAGAAAGCGAGGTTAAATATTACTAGTAAAAAGCAAGCTAGTTTTCGACGATTTGACATTTGTGCCAAAAATCCAATGTGTCACTCCCAGAGGAGGTGGGTACCGTGCATCACCACCCCTCTCCTCTAAATCGGGTCCCGTAAGATAACAAACGTTTAGACTTTATCTCTAAGCATCTACTACAACAATATATAGACCATTTCACGAATCCCGTTACTCGACCTCAGCCTCGTCAGCGTGTAATATATTCTTTAGAAATTGCCTACAACCTGTGAAATTTTTAAGTGTTTCAATTGTTCATTGATGTGTAAATTCCTTTAATTACTGCGGACTGTAGTCAAATTCTAAAGAATAATTACACACTGACGAGGCTGAGGTTGAGTAACGGGATCTGTGAAATGGCCTATTATATTAAGACAAGCACATTAATCTTCTTCGCCTTACCTGTTCCCAGTCCACCAAGAGGCACAGCCGAGCGCATTCCCAATGGTGGAACAGCACGAGGTATCCCATACAGGTATGAAAACGGCGAGAATCGCTTGGTTGCCCAGGATTCGGCGACTCCTGTAACATTCACCGGCTCAACATACTGAGCACACTGCTGCACATGCGTGAACCTCATGTCTGATGTGACAAGTGAAGGACCATTACGGAACTGAAGCTGGTCGAGTTGTTCACTAAGGGGAATATCTGAAGGTAGAATGAAGAATTATCAGCTAAACTAAAAAAAGAGATATTGACCATGTTCAGCCGAGATTAAAATTCTGATTCCTCTATTTCCTGTTATGTCTGGATAGTTGATTTACGCGCTTTTGTGTGTGTGTGTGTGTGTGTGTTTTTGTTGTTTTTTTTTTTTTTGTTTGCATAATTTTCTTTTATTCTTTTTCTAAATGCTCGATAGATTTTGTTTTATTCTTCGTTATTGCTGGCTTTCACTCAGCTGATAAAAAATTTGAATCTCATTATCTGCTCCAAATGCTGGCCAAACACTAAGTATTTAGTTTGTCATTGTTAGTGTAGTCCCACAGGAGTTTATAATGCATTTATATACGCCCTTTATGTTAATCCTTAGTCAGTTGGTGCTCGCAGTCAGTCCCGTCACACATAAAAGTAAGTTCTTCGTTTTTCCTTATTTCTTGGTCGATTTTACAGTTTATTGTCATTGTAGTTTTTCATATTTTTTGTTTCACTTTGCACAAACTAAGCTCGGACAAGAACTTAAAAGCGTAGGCCCCATCTGTCTTCACTATATAACCTTGTATAAGGCGGACGTAAAAGATCCGCTGAAGGCGCTGGTGACGACCATCTTTAGTGCCCGTGCTAACCGGCTGCCTTATCAATTGGGTCGCAAGGCCTGTTAGGCATTAAGCCGTCCACCCAGGAGTGGTAAACGCATCTATCTATTTGTAGCCTTTACTTTACGCTATGCTTATGAGTTTAGAAAAGAATCAAGTATGGAACATGTAGCAACATTTCCCTTGGAATATGCCCGAGGGAAGAATTCTTTTCGTTTTTTACCTTCCCTCACCCCTCCCCCGGGGATATCGGACAAGTTAATAATCATCGCTCAGAAACCAACCGGAGGAAAAAAAGAAAGACTGCTTGCAGTTAGATTTCAAGTAAAGAGTCTATAACTTGCATGTACGATATATATTGTTGTCATTGATTGTGGTCTTCCCATCTGCATTCGAAATATTGATAACTCGTGCTTTTATACTAATTTAAATCATAATAATTAGATAATATTTAAATATTTCTTTGGGTAAGCGGGTCGTTTGACGCTTAGAAACTCAAATTAATAATAATGACATTTTTAAATATTTCTATAGCGCAAAATACATTATATATATGATTTAATGCGTTGTAAATGTGACTTTGTAATTTGCACAGTTATATTGGTAGATATATGCAGTAGAGTGTATACCATATATTCGTGAAAAAACTTTGCACACAATAGTAAGTTCAGTAGACCTCAGTAGACCGTAGACCTACCAAACTTTGCACTAATTTGTACAATTTTGCTAATTAACTTTTTCACGTATTTATAGTATGCACTCTATTAAGAGATATGTCCCTCATCATGAGTGCTGATCGTACTCACCAAGACGTCGTTCTCGGATAATTATCCCATGAATACTGACGTCCATAAGTTCATTAGGTCGATATTTACAAAACCCAAACGGCCCACTACACTCGACGTGAAGACAACCAGTCCGTACACCATAAACTACCTCACGGCAACTGGACAAATAACAACATGACAAGAAACAGCTTTTCCAGTCAGAAGCCTGAATCTCTGTAGAGCCTTTCTTGAAATTATCTATGTCTTTACTCGGTAGGAATAGCTTGGAGATAGTGATGTACCTCGAACAGTTGTCCAAGATGATTCCATCGACTTAAAATAAAGGGAATATTATACGACATCACATGATGGAAAAGGAAGCTAATGAGCTGTGAAAGAAAAGTGGATTCATCCTACTCACCTGGTAAGAGTACGAGTACAGCGAAAACAAATATAAAAATGAGTCGACATTGTCTACGCATTTTGCTTCAATTTTTTTCCAAGAAAAATCGTTATTTTAAAGATAAACAATACTAAGCTCTGGATCTTTTTTTGGACGTTGAAAAGTCCCATTTTGAGACCAATTCGGAACTCAGAACTAGAGTTCATCTCTAGCAAAATTGAGCTCCTTAATGAAAAAATATCTCAGTGTGGTATAGCGCATTTTCATATACTACATAATTTCCCAAAAAAGTGTTAAAATCTAGACCAAAATTTGGGACTTATGACCAACAATTTGTGGCAAATAATCGATGCCTATCCAAGAGGGAAAATATTCTTCGATTCTATGAACCATAACAAAAACAAGAGGTTTATTTTTTTCGGGTCAAAGAAGCACCTGCATGTTTAAGTTTAAAAGTCATTCATCAGTGATCTTACAGAAGTCAAGCTGAGATCTCATGAACCAAAGATTTACAACCAGTTGCCATGGAGATCAAAATTTAAACCGTCTAACGTTCTGTGTCATTACAAGGTACATTTTCATTTTTTCGCTGAAGGAGTTTCATTAAAAAAGATCGTAAATATTCGAAAATTAGATTTTTGTGTGTGTATGTGTTTGAGAAGAGCGCATTTTTAGTCTTAACCTGTGCTGATTTGTCGTGGGTTGAACATCTCGAGGTATATGGAAAACTATAGATAGATTCATCGTACGCTAGACATTGTTCAAAAAAGTAAAAAAAAAAAAAGGTTTTCAAGAGAACGTGTCTATGGAATGTCGTGGAAATGCCTTGATTGACGTCCATCTAAACTGATCTACTTCGTCGTGACGATAATTCCGTTCGTGCCGTTGAGAACCGATTGACTATATTTAAACCTAATAAAGATCTACAAACAAGATAAAATGATTGGGGGGAGGGAGGGAGGAGAGAGAAACACCACACTTGAGATGGTGCTTCGACAGCCGTAAATGAAACCAAAGTCATAAACCAGTCAAGTGAATAAGCTTGTGTGTTGCTTATGGCTTCAGAATAGCTACGTGATAAGGTTAAGTAGTATAGGGAATGGGGGTTCCAGCGCAATCTCAACACGGGCAAGACCCGTGTCAAAAATCCACCTACGGAAACAACCCACTCCAAGTGTGGTTGGGGGCAACAGCGCAAATATGTTAGTCTATATATGGAGTGCGAAGATTGTA